CTCCCTCCCTCCCTCCCTCCCTCCCTCCCTTCCTTCCTTCCTTCCTTCCCAGTGCGAACATTTTGTTCATAGATTCACCTGCAGCTGAATACCACCTAGCCTGCTCCCAGCTCTTGTCTCTTTTGAATAATAATGCTGTAAAATGTGAGTGTGCTTATTTCTCCTTCAGAGCTTGCTGTCAGTTCTTTTGATATTCAGAACAAACACTGCTGGCTCATACAGTGGTCTGCTTTAATTTCGTTGCTGTTTAGTAGCTATGGGAATTGAACTTAGAGCCTCATACACACTAGGCAAGCACTCTACAGCTAGGTTATACTCTCAGCCCAGTTTTGATTTTTAAAGCACTTCTATATTGTTTTCCACAACGACTATACCACTTTACACTTCCATCCTGTCAGTGCACAAGGGATCAAATTTCTCCACATCCTCACACCAACACGAGTAGTCTTCTGTATCTGTAAAGGGTACATCATCCTTAAGGTTTGACTGGTGTTTCTCTTCCTAGCCATTTGTGTGTCTGCTACAGTCCTTTGTGAGTCTTCAGTTGTGTTGTTTTTATTTTTTTGCTGTGGTTGAATTGGAGCTCTTTATTCTCCATGTTAACCCATTGGCTTGCAGTGTTTCATGTCTTTTCTAGGTGGATCTTTCTATTAACCGTGTCCTTCCTGGCACTGAAGTTTTTCATTGATGGACTCCCAGCTGCCTATTTTTGTTTCTCTTGTCTGTGCTTTGGGAGTCATAGAGTTATAAGCTTCCCTCTCTAGACTGACTCCCATCTGAGCACTGGCCTGGGGAGGGCTAATATGAAAAGAGCAGGCCCATCTCCTCTACTTCTGGTTGCTCTGGGCTTCTAGACCCTGGATTATTAACCTGTCTCTATGTTCTCTCACTGGCCTCAAGGGCTGTAAAGGATAGATAAAGAAATCAGTCATCGGACGGGCGGGCAGGTGGGGGGGGGGTGCAGCACGCCTTTAATCCCAGCACTTCAGAGGCAGAGGCAGGTGGATCTCAGTGAGTTCGAAGCCACCCTGGTCTTCAAAGTGGGTTCCAGGACAGTCAGGACTGTTGCACAGAGAAAACCTGAAAAGGGGGCTGGGGGGGGGATCAGTCATCAGAATCAGACCTGGGGTTCTTGGGAGTCCAGGTCAGTTTTCAATGGGGGCTCTCTAATCGGATCCAGACCTTACATCACAGCTTGGGCAGCAGAATCGTTCTACAGAAGCACTTTATTTTACTACATTGGTGTTTTGCCTGCATGAATGAATGTCTTTATCAGGGTATTGGATCCCCTGGAACAAGAGTTATGGACAGTTGTGAACTGCCATGTGGGTGCTGGGAATTGAACCCCGGTCCTGTGGAAGAGCAGTCAGTGCTCTTAACCACTGAGCCATCTCTCCAGCTCCCAGAAGCACGTTTAGGTTGAAGAGAGACACATCATAGGCACCAGGCATGGTCGGCTGTGGGCTGGGTCACCTGAGGATATCTGTGTATGGTGCTTAGAATTCAAACTCCGGAAATCAGGACGCCCACAGTGTAGACCTGGCTGTCTCTGATTCTGGGAACCCAACCCTTGGAACTGCAAAGCCTTTTGCTAGTCCCACTACCCTGGCCCGAGGTCACAGAGGCTCAAGTGCTGAGGAAGGAGAGGCCCAAGGAGGTCTTTGCACAGCCAAGTCGGTGACCCCAAGTGGGGGCACAGCCCTCCACGCGCGCCAGAAGGCCTCCCGGCAGTTCGTTAGACGGAATGAATGTGCACCATGCCCGGAGTAAGCTAGGATGAGGCAGTGATTATATTTAAATTTGCTATAATTGATTTGGGGAAGAGCTACTGTGACAAGAACGAATTGATCATTAAATTTATTAGTGAGATAAATTCCGCTGCGATTAAGCTGCTGGCTTAAGACACTGAGGCCGCCTGCCGATCTGCGCGCCAAACTAGAGACTTGCTGCCCAGCTGTACCCGAGTGGGGAGAAATGGAAGGTTGTTTCTTCCTCCACCTTTCCGTGGGCCTTTGTTCCAGAGGCGTCTCTCCCTTGGAGTGGGGGGTACCCTGAGTTCCTAGGTCCGTTGTTACTCTTCCATCCCAGGTCCAGGCCTCACTTTTCTGTTTACACAGTGTTTAGGACTCCAAGGCTCTGAAACTGGGATGGCCATCCTCAGAGGAAAAATAACCCCCAGATGTGAAGCAAGCCTGCGAAGAATTGCTTCGGGCTGAACCTCGCCAATGTGTTAGAAATTAAAAAGAGATACATGCATCTTTTTAAAAGATGAAAAATATCTCTCTCTCTCTCTCTCTCTCTCTCTCTCTCTCTCTCTCTCTCTCTCTCTCTCTCTCTCTCTCTCTCTCCTCTCAGATTTTCCCATTCCCTTTCCTCCAGCCCTTTACTTTCTCTGCCAGTTGTAAACCCAGTCCGGATTCGCCCCAAAAATCGGAAGCTTGGGGCTCAGATCGGTCCTGCGCCTGGCTCTCAGCAGCTGCCCTGCCTGATTTCCAGCCCCACGCCCGGCTTGGGCCGGCTTAGATTTTACGGAAGGAGCCCAGGGTGATAATGAGCTGCCAGGAGGATATTAATCTGGCTCTGCTATGAGATGGAGGAGTGCCCTGCTGGCCCCGCTGCAATCACCTAAATGAAACTTCAGACCCCTCTGAACTCTCATCATCTGGGAGCGAGAGCAGAAGCGAAGGGAGGGGGCTGCTCGCCCTCGCCCAGCCCAGGTGTGGGAGAGAAAGTGACCAACCGACAGGAGGCAGACACAAGAGCCTCTTCAGCTATTTTCAGTCTAAAGCTGGCCACCAAGACAGCCAAAGGGGAATGGGGAGCGGTGGACGAACCAGACCCGGAGCACCCAGTGTTCCCTGGCCAGAGTCTGAATGCAGAGGACCGGTGCGCCTTGGGCTGGGCTCGGCATGTGTGCAGCACATGGTCTGGGGGCTGAATGATTGATGGCGCTCGCTGTAGAGGTTTATTAAGCCAGAGCCATTGCAGCCCTGGCAGGGAGCATTCTTGCTGCTCGCTGCCGCTTCTTCTCAGAAGACATTTGCACAAAATCATTCCTGGCTAGCACAAGGGACATCGTGTTAGCTGAGGGTCCTCGGTCAAAAGGAGAATGCGCTACATGGTGCCATTAAGCGCTTTTCCGGGAAATGTGCTTGCTTAGAGATCTCTAGGACTCCAAATGCCACTAACACTTAGTTGTTGGCAGCTTATTCTCTGAAATATTCAAATCCTATATTCCCATGCCACTGCAGCTAAAAGATCCAGCAAGTAAATGGGAAATAAAGTGTCCAAAATCACTCAGCTGGGAGTATCATGAACAGCACAGGGTTTAAGCCAGGCACTTGCTGACACACCTGGCCTCTGATATTTTTAGCCACAATTCACCCCTGCCGCTAATCGCTACCCACTCTTGCACCTTCAGCCTCCAGAATCAGGTTCGGTCTTGGAGGGCTCAGGCGTGGAGGTGGTCCTGACACCCATTTGCCATTCTGATTTTCACCCTTTGCTGTTAACCAAAACAGCCAGGATCCACAAGATTTGCTCTTCCTAGCTTGCCAAAGTGGACCAGTAACAGAGCACTCGCTTAGCTTGCCCAAGGGCTGGGTTCAATCTTCCTCCTTCCAAAATTAAAGTGTTTTTTTTTCCACTCTCATCCAGTACAAAACCAATTTATTTTACATTCCATTTCCACCCTGGGGAATGGGGAAGCTAAATAATAATTTAGCATGCATAAGTAGACGTTTCTTTCTTTATATATAAATACAGTATACAAAAATACACTACCATTCTGAGATTTTTCCGCAGTCTGAATGCTCATGACATACCCCCACCCCATACCCAGACATAAAACCTTTTTTTCTGTTTTCAATTCTCAGCAGAATGGTATCTCCAAAGGAGGTTTCAAGTTTCTAGGTCACTTAACACTGTAGTTTTCCCTTCTTCGAAGAGGGAAGAGCCAAGCAGGAGCCACTCCTAGAAGATTGGTCGGTTCTTCTCACAAACACCCCAAGCCAACACAACCCGAAATTAAATTTAAAAGAACGAAAGTTCATATTGGAGCTCGCTGTCTCTCTCTTGCTGTCCTTCGAGGACCCAAATGGGATTCCCCCAGCCCAGCGCGCACTTGGATGCATGGTCCGGGGAGAGGCTGCCAGATTGGCTGCAGGCCACAGGATGGGGTTGAAAACCCGCAGCCGGGTAGCCGTCGCGCGCGTCCCTGCTGCCGAGCTTGGGGCAACTACTGGGGCAGAGGTTGGTGCCCTGGCCCGCCCGGCCTTGGAGGCGGCGAATCGTCCTCAGATGAGCAGTCGGACGAAGCGGCGTGGGTGCCGGCGCCGTTGCTGTAGGGGAAGTGGTCGTCCTCATCCTCGTCCTCCTCATCCGGGTCACTGTCTCGCAAGTCCCGCAGGCGACGGCCGCTGGCCTTGTCCCCAGACACCGGCGGCCCCAGCAGCTCCTCCTCCGCCTTCTCCTCAGCGCAGCCTTTGCCGGAGCCCCCGCCGCCGCCCTTCTGCTTCTCCGCCTCCTGCGCAGCCTGCTCTTTGGCCTTTTTGCTGCGTTTCCATTTCATTCGGCGGTTCTGGAACCAAATCTTCACCTGTAGGCACAAATTGGCGTGAGAAACCCGCCGCTTACATCACCACGAATCCAGAAGGTGTGAGCACCCAGGACCCCTGCCCCTCGGCCCACCCTCACCCTAGAAAGGGTTTCCCTAGAGGACTAAGAAGCTGACTGGGCAGCGGCTTCTCCATTCCCTCACCCCTACATCTATTCATCAGTAAACCCATAGCTGGGAGCGGTGCCCCCAACTCCCCAGCTGGGAGTGTTTTACTCCAGCCCATGGTCTACCGAGGCACCAAGGTAACTGGCAGGTCTCTGACTTCTCAAGTCCGCACCTTTCTAGAAGAACAGCCTCCTAGAATGTAGCCTGAGGGACACCTTCTCCAGAATAGCTGGTTAAATACTGATGGATTCTCAAGCCTGTACCCCAACCTATTGAATCAAACCTCCGGCGCCTAAAGATGCTCTGGGTCTTCCTAGGACCTCGCCCACTGTGAATTAAACTGAACCTAAAGGTCGAGAAGCTGGGACCCAGTTGCCCAAATCAGTACCCTCCTGGGCGGTTTTTGGGGATTGGTTGCCCCTGGGGCTGGGTATCAGGTGTGCACCTGGGTCTCGGTGAGCATGAGCGAGGTGGCCACCTCAAAACGCTTGGGCCTCGACAGGTATTTGTTGAGCTTGAACTGGTGTTCCAGCTCCAACAGCTGCTGGCTGGTGAAGGCGGTGCGAGGTCTTCGGCACTTCCCCAAGAGGTTCGACTGCGCCTGGGCTGTGGACCAAAAGGGGCGAGAGGCCTTTGTAGGCTTGTCCACTAACCGGCTTCCAGCCATCGCTGCCCTTGTCCCTCTCAGGGTCCAGCCTCCGACACCCACCCTGGGCTTCTTTTTCAACATCAGTGCCTACTCCCCACGGACCAGAGGACCCACATCTCAGACACAAGCGGAAGTGGGGTGCTTGTCTCAACAGACAATCTTTTCATTTGAGAGTGGCGATTAAATAGGGCTCGCAGTAGCCACCTGTGTGAACACTGGTAGGTCTAAAAGCTTTGGTAGCCGGACTGGATCAGCAAGAGACCAAATCGCCCCTGTTCTGGTGGAGGGCCTTCCCACACCTCAAGCTGGAAAAACACCCATCCTCTTAGTCCCACCACCATCTTAAAGCAGAAGAGCAAAAAAAGGGGTGTAGGACTCCCGCAGACCTGTGGGAGGGAAGAGGGGAGATGAAGACGAGGAGGAGGAGGAGGAGGAGGAGGGAGAGAGAGAGGGGGGGGGATGAGACAGAAGCTGGAGCCTAAATAAGCATATTCATCAGGGTGTCTCCAGGTCTGTCTTGACAAGCTCCCTCCTCCTCCTAGTGCAGAGGGCAAAGGGACTGGAAGCCTGTTTGGACGATTCTCATTACTCAAATTAAAGGCCGAGCTGTGGGTGGATCTGGCTTTCTGTGTGTTCCAGGAGATCTGTCCAGCTTTATTTACATAATTTCGCACGGTTACATCACAGAGACTTTTATTACCTCAAAACGAGACTTCCCTTGATTTCCCAGGAGTCCAAAGAGTGTTAGACAATAAAAGAAAGAAAGCAAAGGAAAGAAAGAGGCCAGCCCCTGGCTGGGATGAGCTCAGGCTCCCCTGGGATGGGCAATTTGCTTTATAGGAAGGTCCACGCCCCCTGCTTTAGTTAAACAAGGCTACGAATTCCCAACTTGACAATACATTAGAACTCTAATTAAAACACCAGCTCGGAAAGGATCATTTCAAAATGCCATCCAGTGGATAGGAACAACCAATTAAAGAAAACCAAGCCTGTTTTCCTAGGTGAGAGGGAAGTCTCAAGAATGGAACACATTCAGCCACCCTCTGCTGGTCCCCGTATGGGGTTTAGATTCTCTTCCTAATGTAAAATTGGTCTTACTTTTAATGCAGCGACTATAAGACACCATGGGCTTGGTATGCTAGCAAAGGGATCCTACAGGCAGGGATTTTGAGTGATCATGGGCTCCATAAAAATATCCTTTCTCCCCCAGAGAGCACTTGAGCAGTCAGGAAACCCAAAGTCATGGAGTTCTGTTGGTGACCAGTGACCAGCTCTTCTCTGGGCACCCATGCATCTCAGGCCTAGGAAGTGTAGCCATAATGGACATGTATGGGCAAGTTTCCATCTGAAGGGATTTGCTGGGCTCCTCAGCCAGGTTTAGATCCTGCCCAGGACTTACTAGATAGGAACAATTTCAGAGACAGCTGGGCTGCTCACACCCACCCCCTCAACTGAGGTTAATGGAAGCCTTCCCTCTTTGCCGAGATCAACAAGGCTGGCCTTCTTGGAGCCAAGCTGGGAAAAACCTGGGTGGCTGTGAGCAAACAAGTGTGCAGGCTGGGATTCTCTCACCACCTTGCTACGTCTGCAGTTCTCGGGGGTCCTCGCTTTCTCTGTTTACTCACACCACTGCTTCTAGCACAGGAATCTGAATTCTGGCAAGTGTTTATTTCTGTTTTCTTTTTTGCTTTTTTTCCTCCAGTGCCTGCATCTCCCCAGTCTAAACAAACCCACTCAGACGGAAACAATGGGGTCTCTTTGTTTGGGTGTTGGGCGGCTGACAGGGGAAAGTCATATACATCTTCTGTTCTGGCCTGAATGGAAAGGCAGCTTGGGTACAGGGCAAGAGTCAGAGCCAGGGTACTCTTCACAGATGCAGATGCAGCGTGTGCCAGGGATGTCTGAAATGGCTCCTGAGAGGTTGTTCCTCTTGGGTAGCAGAGAAGATGTGGCAGGCTGGACCTTCTTTGCTCCCTCCTTGGACAAGAGCTCCCAAAGGTGTTGGGCACCTGGAGTTCTCAGGAGGACACTTGCTATTTAGAGTCCCTGAGACCTTCTATTCAAAACAGACCTCTTGGATATTGATTGTATGCAGGGACCCCCCCCACACACACACCCCACAAACATACTTTGGCCCTTCGGAGGAAGGCAGGATCCTGACAAGATTCTGACAGAGAAGAGCTTGGGCTCTGGCCTTGTAGCACTGCTACGCTAAGAGTCCATTTTCTCCTTAGCTACCTCTGGACCTGGTGATGTCTCTTGGTAGCCCATTAGGGAGCCCCTGGTCAAGTTCATGTTCCCCGTGACAACTTCCAGGTTTCAGTGACCCTAAACCCTGTCCTTTTTGACTAGCATTCCCGTGCACTTCCTTCTCCAACCTGCAAGTTAATCATTAGGTTTCAGCCTGACACCTCTAACCTCCCCTGCCCATTAAGAGAGAAAGAGAAAGCAAGGCCTGAGCGTGGCCATCTTAATAATTCGCTGCTCCTCTCACACCACACGGCCCACACGAGGCCTCACAGGCCCCGGGATGAGCCGTGGCGGCTTTACTGCGCTTGCACAGCTCGCTGGGAGCCGAGGCAGAAAGGAACTGGGTGCGGGAGAGGAGGATGCTCGAGAGAACTGCCCCAATGCTGCGCAGGTACTCACAGCTGAAGTCCGGCATCTTGGGCAGGATCATGCCCGCGGTG